TTGTTTCTCCGAATCGAAGGGGAAAAATACAAAAGCATTGTACACAATTTAAACCAATCAATGTTGTGTAATTAACAAGGATAATCTGGTGTTTTTTAGTCGATGAGTAGTGCAGATATCACTGTAAAATAAATCGACAGTAAGGGGAATACTTACTTCCGGGTGTACAATTCTCCGTTATCCAATGAGAATGGACGCTCACATTGCCTTTAAGGGCAGCCGACACAAACGAATGCCGTGCTTCCATGAGCGTCTATAGAAGCATATGGACATCCCGGAAAGCTGAAAATTGACGCTAAGGGCCCCCCCCTTGCGTTGAAAATGGACGCTAAGGGCCCCCCCCCTTGCGTTGGAAAAAGCCGACAGGGAACTTGACATAACGTCAACATAGGACGACCTGGGAGTGAGGATGTGTTGTTTTATTACACAGGGCGTTGCCCATACATTTATGATTGGTCAAGACTAGATGAAGAGATACCGTGGTTTAGACTTTGTTCTCTTTGGTAGGTGCACAGACTTTGAAAAAAGTCTCTTGGCAACACGATCATCCAATCAACCTTCGGCCAGCTGTTATTCCCTATCCCAGGGGTCTGCAACCTTTTTGACCAAAAGAGCCATTTTGCTCCTTTTTCCAAAACATTTTTTTGTCTGGAGCCGCAAAACATATTTCATAGTTTTTTATTGTTATATCAGACAAAAACTACAGTTTTTTTGCATTTATTAGGCTATTTATTACATGATATAAAACTGTTAACCTCTAATAAGAAACAAAGAACTCCTATAAGGAGAATTATAAATAATACACAGGCCTACTTTAAAATAAATTAAACACAGCACTTGGGGAGTCTTCTGCACATTTGAAGGAAAAAAAAACATTATTAAAATGGGCCCACTTTGAAATAAATAAAACATATAGCTGCACCCTAAAAAGAGTTAAAGGTAGGGTAGGTAAGAATGGAGAAAATATGCCTCTTCCTTCAGACTTTCTTACAGAGTCCCTCCTCCAACACACACAAACGCGCACATGACCAATGAGGGCACGAGATAAGTCTGTGCACAGATGGAAGGCTGACAGGCAGGTGGCCATCCAGTTATTTTAGCCGGGCCGGCTCAGATGATTGGTCGTGCTTTTTACAGCGCTACGGCTTCCACAGATTAATTTTTGTATGTATTTATTGTCAAAGCATTTAATATATTCATTGCTATCGGGACGTTACGAGCATTCCATGGAATATAACAAAAAGTGTTTTCTGAAATAAATTACATACCCCATTGAATTATGACTGAAGATCGTCAGCTGTCTTCCTCTCCCTTGTTATTCCTCGATACGTAAAGGCTGCACCACCGTTGACAACTTCTCTCCACATATCAAACATACCGGTAAACCAGCATCGTTTGCTGTGAAAGCATATAACTCTGTCCACACAGAATTAAATCCTGTGTTCCTCCGGTACTTTTATTTATTTATCCATAGTTCGCTCATCGAGCCGGGGGTCAGGTTATTCGCCTCCAAGAAAAGGCGCTCGCGCGGGACCGTAGCAGGATGTGACGCATATTTGAGTTGACCTAATTAAAACCGTTTTTATTTGTATTTATGTGTCACAGTATCACCTCGAAATTACAAGATACGAAACATTTTCAACCATGCAACAAAATATAAATAGTCCTACAAATACTTTTATTTAATTTCCTTCTTATTTTTGTCTAAGCTCAAGGGAGCTAGAGCAGAGGGCTTAAAGGGCCGCATGCGGCCCGTGGGCCGCGGTTTGCCGACCCCTGCCCTATCCCTACTCCCTGTCTCTATTCTAGTAATTTGTTTTTGCTAACATTTCTACAGAAAAAGTGGAATCTTCACAAGGCTGCTTCCTAGCTATGTGTGGGAGCGAAGCTCACCCACACGGCCAAGGTCAGAGCCTCAGTAACTCTTACTGCGTCTGCATATGTATGGCTTTGCTACATTAGTATTGCAAGCTAAACAATTTCTTCTGCGACTTTTCCCTTTGTTTCCTATCCAACCCATCAAACCTTGGGATTGGTGATTTTGTCACTTTGTTTCCAAAGTCAAAGCAACATAACATGAGCACAATAAGATTATAATGTAATAATAAGAATCAGTCAATGTTATATAAAAATAGACTCCACAGGAGCAACAAACTGCAGAAAACGTTAGCTGCTCACTGTTGTTAGCTAAGACATCTAGCTCTTAAGGGAAGTAACAATAGCCTTTTAGCAAACTTAAGGTTAAGTTAACATTAACGTAACGTTGTAAGAAACATAGGCGGCACGTGAGGCTCAGGTTTGGGAAGGCTAAATAACTCTTTTTTTTACCTGACGCTTCCCGCCTCCAGCGTCTATAGAAAAGAGATCGACTCAGTGAAAGCACCACCTGCTGACCAATCAGAGCTCAGTGTGCGGAGTTTAAATCTATCAAGTCATATTACAGGATAAAGGAAATACAGTTTAAACTGCTGTATGCAGAGAAGACGCCGACGTGTCAGACTTATCATTCATATCACATCATCAATCAGATCATCGACCATATCATAATAATTTATCATATATTTCCTTATCTGAGTCAGCTTCTCGAGCCGTATCTGGCCATGCAACACTTACATTGTCACATACTGTATGCAGAAGTATTATTTTAAGCAACACATTAGGTTGACGAAACACTCAACTCAAATTTGATTAGGCGGGGCAGTGATATTGTAACGTCTGAGGTGTTAAGGCTTCAATGAACACACTTCTGTGTAACAAAAACTCAGGAACTTAGTAATTTTTGGAGCGTGCCAGATAGCGCCTCCGTTTATTATTATCGAGTCACACCACGCTCTCCTTCACCACACCAGCACAGACTGCGCATGCTCACAACACATGACCTCTCAACCCAATGCTTACATGCGTCCCCCCTTACTGAAATAAATGTCCCCATTTCCACACACATGGTGAGAACACAACAAAACATTAAAAAAAAAATACACATCCACAGCCCAAATAAAACATCAACTTGGTATGACATAACCCAGGCATCCTCAAAGTCCGGACTCCGGTCCGGGTCCGGACCGAACCACAACTGTCTCTGGACTCTAAGCAAATTATACTTTTCATATGTATTATCTACGGTGGCCGGCAGGTGCAAACGCTAAACAACGGCCAAAAACACACACATAAGCAGGAAACACCTGCAAATAATGAAATGAAAAACCAACAAACCCTGAAAACACATACAACAGAAAAAACGCTGCATTTACAGAAATGATGCAAGCTAAACCTACAACACACAAACCCCGAAAACAAACGCAACAGAAAAACGCTGCAAATACAAAAACGATATGCAAAGTCAAAAGCACATACAACCGAAAAACACATTACAAAAAAAAAGACATTACAAAAAAAAAAACATTCCGGAAGTGCTTCAGGCCTCTAGGGGGCGCGCTACGTGGAACAGATCGATGTATGACCAGACATAGAGAGAACGAACAAGAGGAAAGAAAGTTCATTTAAGTGGAGAAAGATATAAGAAGGTAAGTTTTGTTTTTTTATACATAGAGCGTCATATTTATATAGCTAGCGTTAGCGTGTCTAACTACTACACCAGCTGAGGGAGGAGAGCTTCACGTGAAGAGAAGAGAAAGTGAGGGAAGAACATTGTAAAGAGATGACAAATCAAGTGCAGGCAAATAACACGGGCCATAGTGAGTACCGCGGAAAAAGGACATTTGAATTCTTAGCAGTTTGTTTATATTTATGTATTTGTGTATAGATGTTGCAACTATACAGAGCTTTAGCAATTGCCTGTAACTATGGTCATGCTAATAAAGCTATTGAATTGAATTGAGAGAGAAAGTGACAAAATGTGAAGAGGGACAAAGTAATGACAGGATAGTAGTGTGCATTAGACATTCAAGGAGAGAGAGAGACAAATCACAGATTCAACGGTGAACATGATGTATCTATTTATTTAGCTAACCACTATTTAGACTATGTGTTTTTGATTGACTTGATTACATGGATTTACTACATCAATGTATGTCTTTTCAGGCTGCCATGTTTTGTCCTTTCTGTGGCCAGCATCTGGGGACAGTTCAAGTGTTCTGTGGCTCCTGTGGCAAACATGTACAGTTTTTGGCAGAAGTTGAACACAACAGTAAGTTCACTTTTTGTATTGTATCTGTTTCAAATGCAAGAAATAAGGATTCAACACACTGCTCTGTTTAGAATACTAATTGGCAGATGCATACACTAGTTATCAGCATGAAGGACACATTTTTTCATTGTCTGTTTATGTGAAATATGTAGAAGCCATCATTAAATTGTAGACCAACGCATGATTAAATACACAAAACAGCTTATATTATACATTCATAATTGTGTATTAGTTATATCTTTATAAAGAACATTATACATTTAGAATCAGATTTTGAGACAGTGAGCCATGACATGTTTTCTTCTTTTTCTCCTTGTGTTTTTGAACTATAGAAGTTGCAATCATCCTCCCAGCATGAAAGTATTCGTCATCTTTTGCAGCTGTTGATATTTTTTGTTAAATTATTATCACGTTAACCAACAGTTGCCACGTTATCATAAAGATATACAGTATAAGATAATGTAATTGTCACGTAAATCAAGCTGCAAAATCCATAAGCAGCTCCTATATTTACAGTACAGTATTGAACATAAGACAGATTTGCGAACATCATTACCTGCATTGTCGAACTTGAGGAATTTCCTGTCCTGTGGACCATCAAATATTCTTCTCATTCTCAGGCATTCCATTAGGAGGGTCAGGAACTCACGCTTGGGACCACCAGTGTCCACTCCATCCTCAGTTTGTCCCTCATCATCAGTAAACTTAACCTGCATCTGATGAGAGGGGTCGAATGAGGCCCCTTTGAAGCCGCGGATTGCTCCATCCCACACATTGGCTCTATTAATATTGAACCTGCTGCAAGAGGTATTTTTAATTTTTGCAGAGAGTTCTGCAACAACGTCTGGCGCAGTCAGGTATTCTGTGCTGGGAAAGACAAAGTGATGTATTGTAATATTAAATGATGAAGCTATAATAAGATTTACAGTATAGAATAAAAAAATCAAGTGATAAAAGTAACATTTAATACATTTCCTCTGCAGTTTGCTCCGTTTCCTCTTCTGGCTCAGACTGGCTGTCAATAATGATAAGTGCATACACAGTTGTGTAGTTGCTGCAGTGAGAAGACAGTTGAATAATGACTTTCAAATACATAATATATGCATGACAGTCATATTTGCAAAAGGATGTCGATCCTCTTCCTGGTTTTTTTAATACATTGGGTTCTAAACTGACAACAGCACTTTGTCATACTCCTGCACAATCCTTGTAAACATTTGAAATGGATGCAACAAACAATATCTGACCTTTGACAAATATTTGTGGGTGTTTTTTGTATCGTCTTCACTAAGATGTTGTGGGTGTCCTTTGGAAATGTATGAAAGTATAATTGTTCTGCTTCCTGGCAATATTACCCACTGTGATTGGAGGCTATGCAAACAACCAAATGTACAAATAAAAATACACACCAAACAACTGTGTCACGATGCAACTGTCAACATCGTTTACCTATAGAAGGTGTTCTGACCCGGGGCAGACTGGACCTCTTCCTGGAATGGGGTTGGTTCTCCATCCTACTTTTACCCAATAAATAATGATGCAGTTGATCTAATGACAGTGTCATTAGCACACATTACAAAGGTATTTATTGATTTCATGTTCACAAATTCAAACCTACATGGTATAATTACATTTGTAATTAGTCTTACCCGATCAGACGCTGGTTGTGGGTGCCTGAGAGGTCTGATAAAGGTAAAAAAAATATATATTCAAACTACTGTACTGTTAAAACATTCTGCTTCTTGTGGCACAAAATAACATGTTGACAATGTTTTATTTGACCCTGGCAAACTGTTGTCCATTCTGGGAGTGCTCTGTTCATTTGGAAAGTCCCACACCTGCATACAACACACAAATGACTGACTGAAATAAAATAAATTCACTTTAATTAAGAATAAATGCCACGATAGATCCAAACTGACCACGGTGTCAGCAAGACTGTCTCCAGATGGCAACTTTGCAAAAACCACACTGTCCTCGTCACTTGAAGAGGTTGTTCCAGTGTAACCTAAGAAAATAAAAGTATCATGATTAATACTATACAAATAATTGTTCCCCTACGTCTGTACCTATCATCTAATGTTGGTTTGAATCCTGAATTATTGGATTGACATCAATCAGAAAGGATTCAATCGAAACACAAAATGTTTGTGAAATGTACATTATATTGTTGACCGTCTTTTTCACTCTCACATTAGGATTTAGGGCACAACAAACCAACATTGTTGTGAGAAAAAAGGTTAATTTAGAATTACAATCCTTAAGAGGGAATTTCTAACAGTTTGAACAGAAGGAAAGTTTGGAAGCTTTTGTTGATACTTAAATTCCATTTCTTCTGCCACTATTCATAAAAGACCATTTGACGTCATAAGTTCAACCACGAAGAGAAAGGAATGATGGGTGGAATGAATTGTGTTAAGAAATATAGACAGAACAACTGTTATGTTTACATTTGAACTATTATACAGTTTAGTGCTTTAAACAAGGGGGAATATATGTCAGAAGCACTTACAACTGTTTTCAACGGCTTCAAGAGTACAGATGTACAACGTAATTCGTTGGTAGGGCTTTCCAATGGCCTCTTTGTACATCTGTACTGTGAAAGGGGTGTCCGTTCCGGGGATATTTGTTATCACCCTCGCATCAGGGTACAACAAGACATGGGCACCATCTTCCAAGTCCTGGTTAAAGGCTTTCTGCTTTTTTATGGCAGCAGCCAACAGTTCTTCACATGCCCATTGAGGTTCAACATTAAGGGGAAGTGACCTCCCTCTCAAAGGTTTAAGGCAGCCATCCATCCTCCTCATTACTCCAACAGAAATCTGCAAAAAGACAATAATATGCAAATGAATAAAACATTTTTTCGGACATTATATGAGAGTGTGGTGAGCAGATTTGAATGACAGATGTATTCATAACAGAAAACGTTGCATACCTTCACCAATTCCTGTTTATTTTTGGAGTTATGCCGTCCCTTTGTAAAAAAGGTCTCTCCCTCTTTTTTATTTCCCTATATTTCTGAAATGACTCTACAGCTGAGCTTCCTGCTACAAAAAAACAGGAATAAAACATTCATTACTCTTCATTATGTTCAATAGGAGTCTCATCCTCAATCCCTTCTGAGGAACATCTTATAACACATTCAACAGTAGGTAAGTCACATAGTTTAGAGATGTATTTGTATAATAACAGAATTCGAACTTTTAAACCAAGTTTTCTATAAATACTTATTGTTTGGTAATAAAACGAACAACCTATTTACCTGCACTGGTGCTAGGCTGTGCACTTAGATGCGCACTAGTGGTGGGCATCTCCTCAGGGACTTTGTTAGCCACATCTTTTAGAAATGTGATGTCTCTGCCACAGACACCACAAAAGCCATGCGAAGATGTCACGCTGGAACCACAGAATGGACAGTACATCTGTGGAGAAATAAAATGTAGGACACAGTCAAAAAGAGTGGATATTTTTCAGCTACCTAAATATTATAATAGTATTAAAGAACGGTCTTTCAATTAACTCATCAGAAGCCAACCTCCTGTCTATCCCCCCACAAACCAAGCACCGAACCTGGGGGGACAGCGCTTTCTCCATCGCTGCCCCCTCCCTCTGGAACTCACTCCCATTAAACATCAGAGACTGCACCGACCCCCCCACCTTCAAAACACACCTCTTCAGACTGTCTTTTAATGTGGGAATAATGTTGTGTTGCTGTTTTAATATTTTAATTCAACTTTTTACATTTGATTTCCTTTTTATCACCGCATCGCATTTGCGGCTCAGTTGAGGTCCCATCCACGAGGTGAGGGCGTGAGACCCCACCCAGTCTGTGATCTGCGTGTAGGGAGGGGCGTCCCGGTTCTATACTATATCTATATTATGTCAAGAGTTACATTTAGGTGCACAATGGCTCTTGCAAGCTCTTTGATCAAACACGCTAACGCTAGCTACGTAAATATGACGCTCTATGTATAAAAACAAAACAAAACTTACCTTCTTATATCTTTCTCCACTTAAATGAACTTTCTTTTCTCTTGTTCGTTCTCTCTATGTCTGGTCATACATCGATCTGTTCCACGTAGCGCGCCCCCTAGAGGCCTGAAGCACTTCCGGAATGTTTTTTTTTTTGTAATGTCTTTTTTTTTGTAACGTGTTATTCGATTGTATGTGCTTTTGACTTTGCATATCGTTTTTGTATTTGCAGCGTTTTTCTGTTGCGTTTGTTTTCAGGGTTTGTGTGTTGTAGGTTTAGCTTGCATCATTTCTGTAAATGCAGCGTTTTTCTGTTGTATGTGTTTTCAGGGTTTGTTGGTTTTTCATTTCATTATTTGCAGGTGTTTCCTGCTTATGTGTGTGTTTTTGGCCGTTGTTTAGCGTTTGCACCTGCCGGCCACCGTAATTATCTGTGTTATCTGCGAGACATCGCCACAACACAACGAGTCAAAATGATCCGCTATGTCCATAGACTGCAAACAGCGCTCTGCATGTCCGACTGTTCCACTGTCTGTGTGTGTCTGTCAACGCATTGGTCCAATCACATTCAGCATCCCGTCAGCGTTCCCCCCCCCCCCCCACACAGTCTGCGAATCAGAGGCACAGTAGGGCGGGTCTTCGCGGAATGCCGGTGGGAAAAATGCGTGTTTCGTCTCTTTCAACCTGTCTGAGTCAGAGCGAGAGTTTACCAAAAAAAAGTCAGAGCGAGAGTTAACAGCTCATCTAGTTGCATCTGTACTGTAGCTAGTAGCCTATAGTTTCACCTACCGTGGTGGCATGGGGTGGCAACTGCCACCCTAAAAATAGGCATTGCCACCCCAGTTGGCAGCTTTGTTTTGAAAGAAAAGTTGTGGTTCATCGGACATTTATGAGAGAAAGTCTCTAATGTCCGAGTGCAAGTGAATGCAGCACAAGACGCACGTCTTGTAACCCCTCCCCCGGCCCTGGCGCGAGCGTGGAAATTCTGACCCAAGTACTGAAGGAATGAGGCATTTGCGGCTGTATTCAGCATTGAATCAAAACGCACTAAAGCTTTTGATCTTAATTAGTTTGTGAGGCGTTTTGCTGAACAAAATGGCAATCGCCGCATTCAGCTGTAATATACATGTCAACTAGGCCAGTAGGTAAGGGCATTCCACTGGATAATAACTGAAGTATAAAATAATGTGTAATTCCCTCGAAGCACAGGCAGACACAAGTGGCTTTCTCATTACGGGTTTATTCCTCCGAATCCACCGTGAAAACTACACAAACAAACAGTATAAATGACAAACATATTTTCGTGTTAGACACACAATAACATGCACAGCATGTGAGATAACTAGCAAGGTAATACACATAAAAGTGATACAAGCACAACAACATACCTCGTTGGGCTGCATGCTCTGTAAACAGAGGGAAGTATTCTTCAGTTCTCTTCACAACTTATATGTATTTATAAGAATACAACACTAACGGAGCTGTAAGTATCCGTGCATCTTACTCTGAGGGTGCTTCTCATGTTCTCGCTCTCTAACTCACGCGAGAACAGCATAACGAGACGTGAGCTTGGACTTCAAAATAAAAGACTAAATATTGCACGCATGAAACATTACAACAATAATAATTAGTACACATAGAAAATACACATTACAGTTAAATTATGAACATGTAAAGGCTGCACTTACAGAATGCATGACTGAAATGATGGAGACCATGTTTAAATACTGGCTGGTGATTTGATTAATCAGCTTTGTGATGGAATAACAAATGCAATGTCACGATCTGTCTTTGTGGTGTTTTGTCTTGTCTAGATCTGTTTTTGGTTTTCTGTCTGCGTTGTGTTTTGTCTTGTTTGGATCTGTCTGTGGTTCCCTGTCGTTAGTTTCCCTGGTGTGTCCCGATTGTGTTCACCTGTGGCCCCTGTGTTTTCTCCTCCCTCCTCACCTGTGTCTTGTTTGTGTGATTAGTCTTGTGTGTATTTAAGTTCTGGTTTTTCTGTCTGTCTTTGTCGGTTCGTCTTTCGTTGTTGACTGTGTTCACCGGTGAGTGTTCTGTTTGTCCAAGTTCTATTTTCGTTATCCTTGAAATAAAGGTATATCAGTTTAATCTGCATTTGGGTCCTGCTTCCTTCGCTCTACCGTGACATGCACAGTGCATTTCCTTAGCTGTGGGTGAGTCCACTGACACCACTGACAATGCTCAGTTGCTGGTGTTTGTGAGTTTTTATGATGAGGCAAAGGGGGAGTTTGTTGAAGATGTGTTGGGCCTGACGAACCTCAGTGGACACACAAGGGGGCAAGACATTTATAAAGCACTAATGGGAATGCTGAATGAAAGAGGGTGCAGCTGCCTTTATTCCTAACTGTGCAGCTCTTACACTGCGACTCTGAGGGGTCAAGCACAGACACAATAACAATGAAAACTGCTGCATACAGATTATTTTTGTTTTTGCAACCTCATGTTAAGAATCTTGTTGCAATTCTTTAAAGGTTTAAATTAGCGTAATAAACGGACCTTTGTCTTATTGAAAAAAATGTTTTGGACCTTTAAGATTTGTATTTGAGTACCCCTGACATAACCTATTCCCCTGTCCTGCACACTTGAAACATGAAAACAAAACACAATTATGCAGCATAGAATACACAGGAGAAAAGGAGCACACAAACATGTAAACACCAGTCACTCAGCCCATAACAAAGTCCATAAAGCGGACAGGAGGCCACGCTAACCTCCCAGCCCGAGACACTGTTGGTGCTGCTTGTTCGAGCTCAGGGGAATCACCAGCTCCAGAACCCGGCCCAAGATCACTGTCACTTTCCCCATCGGAAAACCTCAAGCGTCCAGAGCTCTGTAGGGAGACTGCATCTTGTAACGGAAGAGGCTAAGCAAGGTTTAAGAGAGACCTTGATGGTCCCTCCAAGGGAAAGGCTACCGGCAGGTTGTATCGCCGTAGCCTGTCATAATGGACAGTTTGGAGAGAGGCTTCATCCCCAAACGGGCTACTTAGTTGGTACGTGACCCCCACTTCATCACCCCTATCCATTCGTCTCTGCACCAGATAAGGCCCCTTCCAGTGGGGAGCCAGCTTATGGCGGCTCTCAGTGGGATCATTTAACCACACCAAATCCCCGGCTTCATATGGGACGTGCCTCACTCTGGCATCATAGTACGACTTCTGTTTGCTGCTTGTACACTGGTATTGTACGCAAACGCGACCTGTGACAGAAAAGAGTCCCACTCCCCCTCACATGATAGCAGAGATTTCACCAACTGATCGATAAGTGTCCTATTAAACCTCTCTACCATGCCATCAGACTTCGGATTGTAAGGCGTGGTGTGCGTCTTTTTCACACCTAACATTCCTCACAAATGCCTCACAACATCTGATTCGAACTGTCTGCCCATATCAGTGTGCAGAGTTTCCATTAACCCATGCTCCAAGATGTAGTTCTGGAAGAGACACTCCGCGACCGTGGGGGCTTTTTGATCGGGGATGGCATACAGATTTACAAATGTTGTGAAATAGTCCTCAGCAACCAACACATACCGGTTGCCTTTTGATGTGACCGGCAACTCCAGTATGTCAGCCGCCACACGCTGGAAAGGTCTAACTGCATGCGAAGTTCTCATGGGGGCATGGTGTTTGGGCACCGGGGACTTCCTTCTCTGACAGGCATAACATTGGTCACACCATGATCGAATGTCACTGTGCATGGAGGGCCAATAGCACGAACTTCTTGCACGTGCCAAAACGCGTTCATACGCCAGGTGAGCAGTCAGTGGAGCACCATGCAAGTGTCCCAGGACCTCTGGAACTAAGACAGCAGGAACAACAACCTGAGTAGACTGCCCTGCCTGAGACAGCCAAACAACTCTACATAAAAGTCCCTCCACAAAAGTCAGCCGGGGAAACTCATGCCAAAGTCACTTCACACCCCGACTAGCATCTTTTAACCTCCATCTAGGGGGCCGTTGGCCATGCTCCAGCCAGGCCAAAACTTGTCCGATGTCTGCATCCTTTTGCTGGAGCT